ATTACACCAACGATAGATCTTGTAGCATTTAAACTCTTTAAACCACCTCAGTCGTATATAAGCACCATTACATCCACCCCTGAGTTCTGGAACATTACGAACACGAACTGTCGTATCAACAACACCTGCATTATCAGGGTTATTCTCGCTACCTCTTTTCCAACCTTCCTTATTGCAACAATACTTGATATAATATACAGCTGAAGAACCACCATTGAGCTTCGGACACGCTGATTGGTTATAAATCCTCACACCAAAACCTTCATGATTCCCATAATCAACATAAAAATTATATGCATCATCTGGTGTATTGAACTCTAAGTCCTTCCAAGAATCACGAACAGCAGGATCTATACCATTGAAACCTACAAACATTATGAAACAACATATTAAATGGATTCCACACCACAACAGTATGAAATCTCAATGTATACCAATAATTACAGCCATGATACAAGAGTTACCACCATGGTATGGCATGGTAAAATCAAATTACCACACTATACCATATGGTATGGCATGGTAAAATCAAATTACCACACTATACCATATGGTATGGCATGGTAAAATCAAATTACCACACTATACCATATGCTATGGCATGGTAAAATCAATTATCACACAGAACCCTCACATTTAACTTCCTAATTACCACATTTTACCACATGGTAATGTACTGTAAAATCAATTACCACATGATAAGGCATGGTAAAATCAAATTACCACACTATACCATATGGTATGGCATGGTAAAATCAATTATCACACAGAACACATTTAACTTCCTAATTACCACATTTTACCACATGGTAATGTACTGTAAAATCAATTACCACATGATAAGGCATGGTAAAATCAAATTACGACACTATACAAACTTCAATAAACAAACAAATTTGTATATCTTACCTCCTGATTCACCAGAGTTAGCTGAATGATCAAATCCAAGATCGATAGATGAAGAAGCAATTCCAACAGCACTAGATGAAGAACCAGATCCTACAACGCTGGTTGAAGAACCAGATCTATCAATTGGAACAACATCGCCACAATTTACGTAACTCATCTCACCAGAATACTACAAAAACACCAAAACACAAAGAACATAACACATGAACAAGCTCGATTAGCTAAACATAAACAAGCTCGACTAGCAGCAATGAAAAACCTCCAACGAAACCAGAGATCAACAGAAAACTCGATTAGCTAAACAGGAAGAATCAAAAAAACTAATATCTAACCTCGTCGTCGATCAATTATGGAGAATCACAAAAGATTCGCCGTCCCCTGTTTCGCAGCAGCTGCTCGCAGTTTCTCTCTACAAAAACCGAATCCAACTCGCGCACACGTCGATCGATTATGGAGAATCAGAAAGCTCGATTCGAAGCTGCTGTTCGCAGTTTCTATCGCCGTCGATCAACCATGGAGAATCGCCGTCCTTGTTTCTCAGCTGCTGCTCCCCTGCTCGCAATTTCTCTCTCCAAAATCCGAATCCAACTCGCGCACACGTCGATCAATTATGGAGACCGAGAATCAGAAAGCTCGATTCGAAGCTGCTGCTCGCAGTTTCTATCGCCGTCGATCAACCATGGAGAATCGCCGTCCTTGTTTCTCAGCTGCTGCTCCCCTGCTCGTAGTTGAGACTCTCCAAAATCCGAATCCAACTCGCGCACAGAAAGATTCGCAACGGACAAAAGGGGAAACTCATTAATTCAAATAACGGACAAAAATGCCCCTGACCATCCCGCTTCTATGACAGCCACACGATCCGTCCGCCCCAGATCAACGGTTCCTAGGTGGTTACTCATGGGTGAGTAACAAAGGGTTACTCACCCTATCCTAAGCTGCATAAATGGGGTAAAAAAAAAACATAACGGCAGCCTTTTAGCCGATGTTTGTTTCTCCGGACGTGAGAAATAATATATATACATAAAAAATGAGCAAAATAATCATAATTGGTTAGCAACTGTCTAAAGTTCATTAACTAATCGAGTGCATTGACTACACATAATCGGTGAAGAATTTTAGGGTTTCTATTATGTAATCAATTTTAATTAGCACATGAAACGACAAAAGAGGATTTCATAGAAGATGAAATTATTTTCTACTTCTTTCTCTTTTCAAAAAATAAAAAGAACCAAACTTCTCCTTATTTATTTTTCAAAAATTTGAAGGAACCAAATTTCTCTCTTCCTTCTTTTAAAATAATTAAATTTTCAAATACATTGCTTTACTATATTTATATTTAATTAATAAATTTTTTTGATAATTATATTAACAAGATTTTAATGTATATTACTATATTAATGTTATACATTGTCTCAATTGTTAATTATTCATTATCAACGTTGGCATTGTGCTGATTTTATATTTCTTATTTAGTAATTTGTAATTTTGTTAAAGAAACTAATGTTCAAGTGAACTTCATGTTTTAATTTTTATAATGAAAAATATTTTTTCAAGTGAATTTTATATTTGAAACTTCCTTTTATGAAATTAAATAACTTTACTAAGGTTTAGAACGAAAAAATTTATACTGAAAGACTATGTATTGTATAATATAGATAATAACTATTCATCCAGATCAATCAGGCGGGTTCGGGTTAATTAGGTTTGGGTAAATTAGGTTACATATTTAATTAGGTTGCAGGTCAATCTGATTGTCGGTCAGTCGCTTTACAGGTTAATCGGGTTGCCGAGAGGGCGGGTTGCAAGTTGTTGACTTTAGTTAATTTGGATTGCGGTCAGGTTACAGGTATGGGATATTAGGCAGGTTACTCGGATCAGGTTCTGTTTAGACACCTCTATTCATGAATCATGGTTAAGCTACGCATACTTGAGTAAGAAGCTAGAAACTTGTTTTTTTTTTTTTTTGCATTTTACGGAGGCGGAGGCCAGGAAATAGAAAAGGAAGGTTGTTACAGAGGGGGAGAGAGATGTGTCACAACTCGACGCTCAAAAGAGACCCCACGAATGTCATCCCAAAGTTTGGAAGTTTTTTATATGGATTTCTAGTTACGTTATAGTTTGGAAGATTTTTTATTCGGTTTTTGGACTTGGAAATTAAATATCGTGTTAGTCGATATCGCATCATTCCCTCTCTCTTGAAAAAGATTCGACCTTGAATCTTTGCAGAATCTTGAACCTCGATCATCGCCACTCTTCTTGCTCTTCCAACGAAATTGTACTGTTGAGGATCATATTATTCCCCACTTCTTATGAGCAATTAGTCCACGAATTATAGAGACACCATTGTGACGAAAGCCCTCTACGTAGTGTTGAATTTCTTGTCGATTCTCCATGTGGGCTCCCTCTTCAAAAATTGTATCACCAATCACAAAATCAATATGAGCATACTCGGGAACTATTGGTAAATGCTCCATAACTTCCAAGCGCTCATCTCCTCATTTGAATTCGGATTCCTCAATGTATTGTTTAACTTCTTGCGCATGCAAATATGGAATACCAACAAGAATATCTCCTTCTACTTCTTCTACCTCTTCTTCGACTTTCTCTTCTACTTCAAGTTTTGGATCTTCTCGGGATGAAATCAAAGCTTGTGAATCCTCTTCACAAGTGACTATAGTAAGCTCATCAACACGAACCTCTTCTTTCACTTCCACGTCTTCTTTGACTTCCTCTCACTTTGGCTTGAAACTCTTTCTCCTTCTTCAAATTTGGTTGTATTTGAAGTTGATCCCCGTAGATTTCTTTGGGAGATAAAGGCTTTAATACAAACTTCTGACCTCTATGCGACAAATTCTACTTGTTGGTGACTCCATCTTGTTGTCCATTTCGATCAAACTGCCATGGTCTTCCAAGCAAAACATGAGCCTCTTCCAATGGCACCACATCACAAAGGACTTCATCTTTTTAGCTTCCAATCTCAAACTCCAATATGGCTTGCTTGATGACCTCAATTGATCTATCTTGATTAAGCCATTGAAGAGTGTAGGGCTTCGCATGTTCGAATGTGTTTAGCCCAATTTCTTCACCGAATATTCACTCACCAAATTAGTGCAACACTCTCCATCAATCACAACCAATAGTAGCTTACCATCCACTAAGCATCTCGTTTGAAATATATTCTCCCTTCGCATCATACTTGTTGATTTTCAAAAAATAAACAAGAACAACAACACAGTTTTTTTTTTGCCACGTACGTACAGCTTTGTGGCTGTTCAACAATTTATTTTTGTTTACTCTAGTCACGTGAACAGTAAAACACTTTTTTTTCTTCTTCTCTACTTACTCATGGGGGCGGTTACGGTGAGTACTACTTTTTAGTAATCACCGTGGCTACTAAGGGTAGGAATGGTATTCTGGTGCTTATTGTTTTGGTAGTGATGCTAAATTTTATTGGTAGTGTTTACATTGGGTAAGAATAGTATTCCGGTGCTTATTGTTTTGGTAGTTATGCTAAATTTTAATGGTAGTGTTTACATTGTGTTATTAGTGTATATCTGTTTCGATGGATTGATATTCAATATTGAAAATGAGTTGCTTGACCACTTCCAGCAATTAAACCATCGTAAGGTTCTGTGAGGTTTGGATTGGTAGTGTTAATCACTTTGTATGGCTGCACTGGTAGTGATCTGCATTGGTAGTTGTCTTAAATCTATACAGATTGTTTTGGTACAAATTTCATATTGGATTGATTCTGGTGGTATGAATTGGATTGGTATTGTGATTATCATTATTGAAATGGTATTGATTTTGCCTTATCGTGCAACATATTATTGTGTCTGATTAGTTTGGTATGAATTTCATTCATTGCAAACATACCAATGAACACACAAAAAGTCCAATGAACACTACCAAAACTCGAACACTACCATTGCAAACACTACAATTGCATAAAACTCACTACCATTGCAAACACTACAATTGCATAAAACTGGAACACTACCATTGCAAACATACCAATGAACACTACCATTCCACGCCAAGCTATACATGTGAGAAGATGACTACCAAAACAATCGATCACTACCAATGCATCAAATCTTGCCAATAGCCGACTCAGAATCCGGAGGAGGTGAAATCAATTTCGCCGGTTCACCATACAGAGAAACAAATAGTCGTCGTCGCGGGAAACGATACAAAGCCGTCGAACCCCTCGCCGATTCACCGTCCGAGAAACAAACATTCGCCGACCCGGAGAGAAAGATAGCGGCGCTGTCGGCTGCACGGGGTCGTCTTCGACTGCACGGAGTCATCATTGTGGGTTGCACAGAGTCATCGTCGTCGGATGCACGAAGTTGGCGGCGGCTGCACGGAGTAGGCGGAGCCATGGATTCATACCATTTCAAATCATACTTTTGCTTTCTCTTTGCCTTTCTTTGGATGTTGGTTCTGCCTTCCGCCACTGCTCTGCTTCTCACTCTCGTTACCATCCATGTATGTATAGGGGGGTGATCAACCAAGAAGACATTAATTTTGAAACTGTTAGTAAAGAAATTGATAATTGGAAAATTCCTAGGATTTCCCAAAAGGAAATTTATGAGCAAAGCAAATTTAACTTCCTCAATAAAATGGATTATACCATCAAAACCGAAGAAAGAGATATTCATCTTTTCAATGATTATGAAACTATCAAACTTTTGTCTCAAAATTCTATTCAACAACACAAAAAGAAGTACAACTATATCCATATTGGGTTAGTTCAAGTAGGGATTAAGCCTCTATCCAAAGAAGGCCTTAATACTGCTATTTTAATGGTTCTACGAGATTGTCGGTTTCTTGAATTTAACGACTCTTTACTTGGAACTGTTGAATCAAGTCTTTGTAATGGCCCAATTTACTTCAATTGTTTTCCAAACTTTACTGTCTCTCTTCATGACAAAAATATTTTAGATGTTTTAACCCTACAAATAAAAACTTTCAACTATAAAATCCAACAAGGATCTTTACCTATCTCTTTGGTTTACCGCTTACACTATAAAGCTATGAAATCTGCTTTCTCTTCTAAAGCTCTTCAATATGGTACAAAAGGAGAAACTATACTTTGGCAAACTGATTTAACTCGTACTAACACTGTTACTCCCAAAACTATCAAATGGGGAGAAGTTACTCTTCCTACAGAATGGACCCTTGAAGGAACTACCATTCCCAGAAGCATCGACCATCGTCAGGTTAATTAAATTACTCAACATCTTGATGGTACTGTTAACATCTCTTTTGCTAGGAATTCCATCTCTAGCATTTCTGATATAGACCCTGAATTGACAGACGATGCTCGACAACGCATCAATACTTTTCTTAGAAGCCAATCTTGTAGAAATCTTTCTCCCATACCAACACCCACTCGACATACCTCCTCTACACTCAACTATGATCTACGAGGAATCAACAACTCCAAAAACATACCTCAACCAGTTTATACTCCACCACCTCCCACAACTCTTTTTCCCAATATAAATACCTCGAGAACACCAAACATGTCTCCTACTGCCTCACAAGCTGCATTTCCTTAAGAAGAAATCCCTTCTGCTCTTGATGTCATTACACAAGAGTTCAAAATCAACAAAGAATTTCTTCGCCATGATTTCTATTCCCAACGAAAGCGTTTTAAACGCGAGCAATTTTTTACTGATTACTCTAAAGAAGAACGTGTACTTATACAAAACTCTTTCTATGATTATCTCAATAATATACGAGAACACCATCCTTTCTTTAATTGGTTCGAACAAGTATTTTCTCAATCTTTGATAAATGTTCAAACCAAGCCTATGACTTGGTCAACTACTAATAACTCTAAGATCCAATCTATTCACCCCCCTAATGCTCTGATACCAGTAAGGACGTTAGCAGAAGATAAATACTGGAGATGACCAGTTTTGCATAAAATAAAAGCAAAAAGTAAATACTCGAGATGACCAGATTAGCAGAAGATAAAACTGGAAATGACCAGTTTTGCATAAAATAAATACTGGAGATGACCAGTTATGCACGAAATAAATAAAAGTTGAAGATGATTTGAAAAAGATGAAGTAAAACTTGATAATTTGATAGACTTCTTACACAGGAATTCTTGAGAGAAGATGATGGGAGGAAGTTTTGCAAGAGAGCAATTCCCACTCAAAACAACTCTACTTACAACAAGTGAAGGGAGTCTCCTTTTATAGAGAAATGGAGTCCCCTTTTGGTAAATAAATTGAAAAACATAATGATGACAATGTGGACACTTATATGATTATGTCACATGTCATAACAAAATTACATTTTTAATAAAAAGAAAAATAGGTAATTTGTGGTCTTCTTTCCATAACCAAATTGAGTGGATTGGAAGTGGAGTCACTTCTTCTTTGTCTTTAGGATAGTGGGTTGGAAGTGGAGTCACTTCTTCTTTGTATTTGTGGTAGTGGAAGAAGCAATGGGGCCACTTCTTCTTTGTTTTCAACTTAGTGCTCTTTGTTGGCAAAGGACCAAGCACTTCTTCATCCGGGTCTTGGTTTTGGAACGTGGAATCTGCATCAGATGTTGAGCTAGACGCCACATCTTTGAGAATTTGGAAGTATTCTTCTTCAGTCTTGGCGCCAGCTAAGAGAGCGCTGATTGAGGATTTTGTTTGCAAAAATTGCGTTGAGGATTTTTCGATAACTTTGGACAATTCAGGATTGTTATTGAACCATTGGAGGACTTGAGGTTTGTAGGCCTGTTCTGGGCGAGGATTTGCAGCCCAATATTTGGTTTTGAAGCTGCGGCCTAACATGGGTACCTTTGTGACAGCACATGTTTGGTAACTGAATTCCCAAGCAGTAATCCAAGGAACTTTGATGTAGTAGCAAAATTTGAGGAGGGGGAATCCTGGACCAGAATATTTTTGACAGAAGGTTTGATATCCCTCTTGTATCTCAGTTGGATAGATATTTTCAGTTGGCCCAAAAAGATCCCACCAGTGCATAAACCGGTTGGGGAAAATAATGGGAGTTTTGTAATCCCAGAAAAAACTCCAGGAGTGTCGGTACATATGGTTTTGCTTGAAGAAGGCATTAATCCAAGCTTCATGGTAATCCCAGTAATTGAAGGATTGGCAGATTTGCGGGTGGTTAAGAGCAATAGTAGCAGGGAATTTTTGGTTGGTGTTTGGGCTAGTAGGCCATTGGCGAGGGTGGATAATTTGGTGGATTTTGCAGGTTGAGTGGGTATTGAGTGTTTTGTCTGAAGGATCAAATTTGTGGGAAAAGGTGACTGATCCAGTTTCTGTGAGGATAAGTTCATAATATTTGTGGGTTTTGTTGAGGGATCTTGGTTTGAAGAACCACTCATTGAGGAAATGTTTGGCAGTAACATTTGGATATTGATGGTAGAAACCATCTTCAACAACAAAAATGGGTTGAAAAGTGTTTTTCTTAAAATATGTTTGAAATCGATTTTGAGGGGCATGGACAACCACCACCTCTTGGGTTTTTGGAAAAATGGTTTTGAGAGGGGCTATCGAAGATGTCACCTCTGTTGCGGTAGGTGCAACATCAAGATGATGTTGCTGATAGATTTGTTTGGTTTCTTCGGAAGAGATGGGTGTGGGTAGGATGCCACTTGGCGTTTGAGTATTTGAAAGAATTAGTTTAGAAGGGGAAATTGTTGAGGAAGTTGAAGCTTCAGTGGGAAGCTTTTGTTTAGAACCAGAAACGGCAATAAATTTTTGAAGGTAATTTTGGGCTTCAAGAGGAAGCTTATCAATATTGATTAAAGCTTTGGATGAACTTGAGTGTGAACCAGAATCATCAGAACTTCCTTCATACTCACTTGAATGATCAGGGCTTCCTTGTTCATCATCAAATATCTCTCTCCATGTTTTGATTTTGATTTTCTCTTTATCTCGCAATCTAGTGGTACGGGGCATTATGACTGGAGATTGCAAGCCTGAGAGTTTTCCGCACTTCGTCCTCCCTGCAAAAATTCCCGAGTAAGGAAGTCTGGAAGAGAGTTTGAAGAACCATTTATAAATTGTATGTCAAAATCAAAAATGCTAAGGATGGCTTGCCATCGTGCAAATATTTGTTTAGAAGCAAGGTTTTGAACATCTTTTTCCAAAATGTATTTTGCTGATTGGCAATCAATGCGTAGTAAAATATTTTGATTGAGCAAATCATGCTGAAATTTTGAGATGCATAAAACAAGAGCAAGCAGTTCTTTTTTGACAGTGGAATAATTGATTTGGGTAGGGTTCCAATGCTTAGAAGTAAAGCGTACCAACAACTCCTTATCATTTTGAATCTGCTTAAGGATTCCTCCATATCCTAGGTCAGAGGCATCGGTTTCGACGATCTTAGGGAGAGAAGGATCACTTATGTGAAGGCACGGGAGACTCTGAACCTGCCTCTTAATTTGCTGAACTATTTTGGTATGCTGGTCACTCCAGGGAGGGGGACTCTTTTTCAATCTATCATGGAGAGGTTTACAAAGAAGATTGATGTTGGGATAAAAGTCAAGGACATAGTTTAAACTACCCAGGAACCGTTGTAATTGATTTTTGTCTAAAATTTGATCAGGAAATTTATCAGCAAATTGAAGAGATCTTTCGATTGGAACAATTGTTCCTTGACTAATGTAGTGACCTAAAAAACGTATCTTAGTTTGAAAAAGACAAAGTTTTGGTTTAGAAACAGCCAGACCGTTACGTCGAGTAACTTCAAGAAATAAATTGAGATGTTTGAAATGTTGGTCAATGTACGAAGAAAAAACCAGCACATCATCAATATAAACTATTATGAAATCAAAATAAGGAGAGTAGATTTGATTCATAATTCTTTGAAATTCTGAGGGAGCATTTTTTAAACCAAACGGCATGACGTTCCATTCATATTGGCCAAAGGGAACGGTAAAAGCAGTTTTATAGCGGTCTGTTTCTTTGATTTGGATTTGCCAAAATCCGGATTTCATGTCAAATTTAGAAAATTGACTCGACTCTACTGTCACTCCAGGAATTGGCCAATTGAAACCACTTCCAAAAGCGTAGTATAGCGGGTTAGGTTTATATGTCAACCCGGGTCCTAGATTTGATGACTACTCAATGAGTTCTTGTTATCTAGCAATAAAACTGGAGTGCAAGTCTAAACTACCAAACAAACAAAGCAAGTAAACTGGTTGTATTCAGGTTAAAGAGGTCACCCGGATATGGTTCCCCCTAGACTGCAGTTAAGCCGGATTGTAATTACCAAGTTCAGTTTCTATGACAGTTATACTGCGGAAGGTTCTTCAACAGCCTGAAGTCTCGACTAAAGGTCTTCAGACCCTCTCAATCTGACTCTCTAGCGGGCGACTAACCTCCACCGGAGTCGACAGATTGAGGCCCTAAGAACAAAACCTCCACTACCGGAGTAAATCCGGTACAGAATAGTGAGTTGGCTCCTCGACTAAAGTCACCAACTCCCTACCTTCAATCAAGGAT